TCTGCCCTGGAGACACACAAACACTCGCAACCCCCTATTCAGAAATGCATACACACATGCACCATAGGCTTTGATCACTGGACATCTGTCTGTCTGTAAGTCTTTGTGTGGTTAATGGCTCATTAGAAGAGTAAGAAAAAAGATCAGAGAAGAAACATTTTGGGCATTTTCAGTCTTGAAGACATCTACAATGAGTAATCTCCACTGCAGAGGGGAGAGGGGAGCATCATGGCATCGCATATGGCTGCCTTGATCATGCACTCTCTCATGTTTCATATAAACTATGTGTATATATATTTCTATATTTATAAGTGCTTTATTTTTTCCTAATGCATGTTCCTTTTTCTAGTTTTCTTTTATTGCTCTCTTAGTCTTATCTTGTTTACTTGTTTACTCATTCTCTTACAGAAGAGCATTGTATATACACACTGAGAGCCGCTGTACCAGAGTCACATTCCTTGTGTGTTCAACACACCTGGCCAGTAAAGATGATTTTGATCCTGATAATTCAGTATGGTCTACAGAAGGTGACATGTTTGTTTTATGAACCATGAGTCACACAGTCAAGCACTAAAAAAATGTAATGAGGCTTTGATTTAAGATGACATGGTGTGAGATGTACTCCATCCTTTTGTGGTGTTTGCACAATTATTCACTTTATCTTGGACTTAAAGTGTATGTGTCCATGATGGTGTGTTTAAGTTGATGCATGTGCTCTTTGGCACGCATGTTTGTTCTTTGAAGGTGTGCTTACTTTTCAGCCTCGAGGCGCATCTGCTCTCTCCGCTGCCTCCTCAGCTCCATGCGGCGGTCAAAGTCGTCATCCATGATGGCCGAAAGACTCTTCTCACTTTCTCACTGAAAGACCCAAGTGTAATATCAGATCACGTGTCCAAAATCTATCAGTAGGTAAATCATTTACTCCATTAATTTTGCACATTGTTCTTGGAAAATCAAAGAATATGAATCTCATTTCAACCTCTGGGTAATTCTGCACCTTTGGGGTGTTTAATCCTAGTGTAAATAACAAACCCTCGCCGTGACTTGGAAACACGCTAAATTCAGTAAAAAGCTGTTCTTAAAATTACTGAAATCATTTGAAATGCATCAGTATATAGGATACAGCTTTATGACATGGGTTAAAAGTTATAAAAACTACTGTGCCTATTAGTTTACGGTACCTTAGCAGTAGCTGAAATTTGGTCCATGAACAGCAGAGTCTCCCTACTATTCATATATCATCTTCTGCAGTCTGGTTTATATCCCAGCCCTTCTGCAGCACAAAGAATTTGTGTTTGCTCTTTCAGCGTCCCTAATTACCAGAAAAGGCAAAGCCTGCCTCTCTGCTCCCCTCTCTTTCTCTCATAGCCTCCCTCCTCCTCCTCCTCCTCCTCAGCTGGACTCCTGCTCTCTCCCTCTGCCTCACTTTCTCCTTCCTGATCTCTGATTTCAAACTCTCAGATTATTTCTCTTGGTTTGTCTTGTCCTGCCTTTTGTACTCCCTCTGATGTTCTGTAACTCTTATTAAGTGTGTGCTTTTCAGTGTATTCAAACTTTCTCTCTTCAAAATGAATGATTTGTCTGTTATTAGTTTAAAATGTTGCTGACCTGAAGCAGATTTATTCTTTGACCAAATTTTTGATTACTCTTATTTTATTTTTATGCTAAAACCTAACAAGCATACTCTGTATAAAAATACAATAAGAAAATGTGTTGTGTATGTTTTATATATATGTTTGTTTAAGTAAGACAGGCCATTTTGATGAGGAATCGACTAACCACCTAGATTTAGTTCCTGAATTAAAATGGAGGCCCAAAGATCCACTGGGTAGCTCAAGCTATAAGACAGCTTTTATGTATGGTGGAGTCTGGGTAGACATGTTAGTCCTGAGTGAAATACCCTTCATTCATCATAATAATCAGTGAACTTCCTCTATTCTAGTGCAAGTCAACAGAAACTGCATTGCATTACACATGATGAAGTGTGTCTTTAAAATTCATTACAAACTTTTTACTGGTTATAAATAAAATGATAATTCCTCTATAAGGCTGCCAGAGTATATAATCTACAATCTAGGGCATGTCTAAAGCAATCAATCCGCTGTCCAAAGCCTCTAATAAAGGAGTAATAAATCTGTATTTTGGCCTGTAAGAATCAGAATCAGCTTTAAGTATATATAAGTAATAAGTATGTCCACTTCTAAACTTTTCTCTGCCCAGCTAATACAACCAGGCAGCTAACACTGTGCAGCTTTACTACTGCAATATCAATTCATGAATTTTATATCATATTACAAGAATTTGTATTTTTAAAATATGCATTAGGAAAAATACCACTGAAAATTAAATTTGTTTCAGGACCAGCATCTCTAATACTCTTAAAAACATACTTCAGCATATCTTGATACTACCCAGAAAAGCATTAAAATGCAACCAAGACTTTTGTCCTTAAACAGAAGGATTAGTACAGCTGCACAAACCCAGCTGTTTTTTTTTAGTAGCTTCCTGTACTAATTAAAGCAGCAAAGCAACAATGGATGGGTCATCCTGGTCCAGGAAACACTGGTCCACTTCAAACTGTGTCAACATAACACTTTATTCTGTTTATACTGTATTATGAACCACTGCATGTGTTTTCTCTCCTTGCAGTGATATGATACAACTGCAATATATTTATCTTTCAATCAGTTCAATGGCAGTTTATCGCCTAGCTTTAATAACATTCTAGTGCATATAAGGTTATATTAAATAAAATCTCCTTCACCATCATCATATTATTTTGTCATCTTTATCTTCAGATCTGAAGCCCACCAACAGAGAGTGGTAGGTCATAATGCACAAGCATATAACCATATACAGTCATACAGCTTTATAAACACAATGGCTCCAAAGAGGGCCTCTTTCTTAACACATCCATCCATGTGTACAGTACATTTCCTGGGAATGGACAACACTTTTTTAACACTTTGCCTTGTGTAAAACAGGAAAGTGACTTATTGCAACCCATAATCTTGGGCAAAAAACATGTAGCTGCTTGGAGAGGTGGTTGTTGGTAATGTATAAACCTTAATGATATGCAGAAAGCTCCTGCCAGAATCAGAGGAATAATAGGATCTTTTTTTAATTCTGCAAGGACAAACTAAAATCATGAAAATAGGATTGTTAATATATGCTAAACACATTAGGTATTATACAAAAACACCTCACTGTACATTAAAGGTTTGGCTGCCAACATTTTATATTGCTCTTTTAACATGTGGTAGATGGAAGCTTCTGTATAAACATTTTTTAAAAAGTGTTCAGTCTTTTTGCAGGATCACCACCAGATGTAGGTGACAACCATTCACATCCTTTGTATGGTTATTTTCAAAACCAATAAGCATTACATCTCACATTCAAAATTCTGTTTTCAAAATGTCTGTTCCAATCTAAGGAGGTGAAGCATGTCACATCATAGCTGATATAATTCCTCTCACAATTACACAGACAAACCACTATCAACCACTCCCTCACAGCTGTTCTTACAAGGGACCACTTAAGGTCCGGGGGGACAAAGGTTGTTCTGTGTTTCAGATCCACCACCAAGTGCACTATAGACTCTATGATGCAGCAGACAAGGACTAGCTGACCTGCGAGCTAACAGCTCACAGACATGCAGACATGTCAGAGTTGTTATCTTCCCCTGTTTGGCTTGGCCTGAGTTCAGTAGGAGGGCTGGCAAAGTTCTGCATTTCTAAAGTTTAAAAACCCACCAGTTTGTAGTGAGGAGCTGCCTTTCTCACCTCAACTTTTCACCCAAATGTACTGTAGAGGCAAACACAGAAACATACACTGTGAATACAGATGTTCACTTGAGAGGTCCTCATTAAATCCTCTTCCCACACAGATGATTTGTATGATTTAGATGGTTGTTGTGCAAAATATTTCTGCTGCAACACTTAAATAAATTCAAAACCATTGATCATATTGGCACTTCTATACAGAAATGTCTGTCTGTTCTTTCACCGACATGGAAACAGCTCCTCATAGCTCCTTACACACATACACATAGAGATAACTGTATTCTCATTTATACATGGACAGTGTGTGGGAGGCTTCCCCTGTTTTAACAGTCTTTCTGTCATAAGGTGAACTCAAGTCCACAAATCAATCCCACATGAACAATGCCACATCTGCAGCCAATTTGTCTCAGTTGTGAAACCTCTCCCCTTTATGGATCAAAAACTAGTGCAGGACTTTAGTCTTTCACAGTGGTCGGTTTGCTTTCCTGCAGCTGGCAACTCCTCACTGACAAACCAAAGACCAAATGCTGTCTGTAAGAGTCTCCAGAGACTGCTCTTGAATATTCATATAAATTTTTGCAACCATCCAACTGGCACACGAGGAAAACAGCAGTGATAGTAGAACAATTTTTGCTTTCTCTTGGTCTGAAGAAGACAAATTGATTTTTGATTTGATTTGATTTATTCATTCAAGCATGTAAAACAGTTGATATGTCAACACATGTAATTTCACACATATCCAACAATAATAATCCAATATCAATTTACTTATACCTAGTACATGCTTGAACGGAGTAGGAAGAAGTTAGACTTATCTAGTCCTACCCCATGACATCATCTTACAACTTTTAAGTCCTAAGCAATATCTCTACATAAATAATTATCCTCTACACCACACAAGTAATATACTACAGAATTATTACAGAGTGTTAACATTCTACATAATTACATTCATAGACAATTATCTTCTACGCCACACAAGTAATATACTACAGAATTATTACAGAGTGCTAACATTCTTACCCCACACCCACAATGTTCCATCTGATTAATCATTAAACCTGTTCTTGCATATATCTTGATTGACACATACCTTTATACTTATGTTTAAACTCATCAATTCTA